TAATAATAATAATAATAATAAGGGAGGCATTGTGGTGAAATCAGGCGCTCGTCAAAAGTAATGAAATCGAAGAAAAAGGCATTTTCCCACCAGTTTGGCAATTTTCATCAACATTTTGTTTTTTTTGGGCTAAAAAACCTTTTACGTTTATACGAAAATACACTTCCATATGACATATGAATTTTATTGAAAAATCTTTTTTAAAGACACAAGATATGTAATTTTCAGTTTTCAAGGACTCTTAAGCTATTGAATTTACCAGACTTTCACGTTGACGGTCATTTTCTCATTAATTTAACCACTGAAAACAGGCTACCCCATTTTCTTCAATCGCAAATATCTCGACTTCAATTCGGGCTAGATGGATCTTTTTTTCCACTGAAAGCAAGGCAAATGAATTAGCTTTTAGATGATATCAATAATTCCACATGCCTAAAAATTGACGAGCGCCTGATTCCACCACATCGTGACACAAAATAATACAGTGTAATAATAATAATAGTAAAAATAATAAATAGCTTGTATAGCGTGTATCCTCGCTCGACAGCAAGCTCTATACGCTTTACGCTATATTATTATTACACTAGCAGATCGTAGAACACTCAGAAACATTCTCAGCTTCCCGGGAAGCATACAGTGCAAGCAGCTGATTAAGCTCTCAAACCCTAACAAACTGACAAGATCTTTCACTGTCTCTAGCTGGGTACCTATTCCCACCTGGGTGAAGTGAGGAAAGTTCGTGTAAATTGTAAAGCGCCTTTTCCAAGGACACAACGTCGGGCCCCTGACGGGATTCGAACCCACGACCTTAAGGTTGCGAGCCTGAGAGCTTAACCACTAAGCCACCCCCGCCACAATGTATACTTTGAACCACCTTGCCCAATTACAGATGAGTGTTCACACGGAGAACCTTACAAATTTTATTTTAAGCCGAGGTATTTTGAAAAGGAATTTTAAGCAGATGAGATGAGGGCAATGTAACAGTCACCTTTACTTTATTGGAAATTGCATTCTGAGCTTGTCTGCTCCCCTTACTCTTAGTCTTATTATTTGTCTTTTATACAGAATTTGCTTTTCACCTTTAGAAACTGAAGAGAATGGAGAGTGGAAATACACGCATTGGTGAATTTATAAAATAGAAAAAAAATAATTAAATAATAAAATATTACAATGATGTGTGT